TCCCCAAAGACCTCATTAGGATCTTCACCTTTACTCATAATACTGAAATGAAACAATTTTACTAAAACACCATCTCATGGGTGATATAACTGCAAGTGCGCAGTTCTTCGAGTATGTAATTCAAACACACTCACACATACAGACCCCACCAAGTACTCACTCTTTGGAAACAGAATCAGAGTCTTTACATTTGAGTGGACTTTCTACTTTTATTTCCTATGGTTCACTTTAGGTTCTGTCCAAGATATTTAATTAGGAGTTGAATCATATTCTAATTTACAATGAAAAGAGGTGATAGGAGTCAACGGATTTGAGAAGGAAATTTGATAATTAAGTATTACCTATTATAATAATCCCTCGCCTGCCTGTGTGGTAATAAGGACAATTCAAATCCTGTATTACATAATAACTCAGAGCTGAATCCTCTTTATGGGCCATTTTAATCTTGAGTAGTCCTTTTGGGTTCTATTGAGTGCTGTATTGAGAAATCATGCTGCAGCCACAATAGTAATTTTAACAGCATTGCAGTTTGGCCTACAGAGTACAAACCTTCTATGATCAAGTTTGAGGAATGAATAAATAACCAAGCCACTTTATGATGACACCTGCATGGATCATGTGGAACCACACTTTCCATTCTTGCTCCCTATTTTCTTTTATAACATTACTTCACCTACAGTAATATCTTTCCAGGGGAACATATTCTTCAGCGTTTATCAACTATCCAAAAACTAATGGATGGGCAGAGTTGGATTACCAACTGGGTGACGCAAGCAAATGCACAGGGCCTTAGAACTTCAGCGGCACAAAAGCTCCATGCTTATAAGGGATCAACTGGTTTTTGCTCATTAATTGAACATTTGTTTGGGAAAATGCTACACTAAAGCACAGTTTCAACTGACATGATAAAAAACATTATGGTGGGTCCTTAATTTTGACTTTGATGAACAGGCTGTGGGTCACATCTCTCTCTTCCACTGGTTTCTTTATTTTGTGTTTCGTTAATGTAGGAGTGTTTTCTTAAACGATTTACTTTCATGTTTGGAGAGGCTACTGTCAGTTATTTTAACCGTTTCCTTTTTCGCATTAATGTCACAGCAAATATCGTGGGGCATGTAACCAGCAAAAAAAAACTATTGTTATAAACCTGACATGACAGGACAGAGGTAACTCTCCAGAGTTCAACTTGAAGACCACCGCTCCCATGGGCGCACAGTTGGGCGCAAGTGTATTTACAATTTAAACAACGTGGGTGCTGGGTGTGAAAATGACATCTGCCTCGGTTGGAAAACTAGCAATGACAATTGCACTGCACTGGGTGCAAGATAGGACCCAAAGAGTCTGCAACCATTCCAGTGGCTCTGTGACGAAAGCGGTGTTTTGTGCTAAATGCTAATGTCAGCATAACATTACTCATAATGACAATGCTAACATGCTGGTGTTTAGCTGGTAAAGTTTACCAAGTTCACCATCTTAGTTAGTAAGTCTGCTAACATTTGTTAATGAGCATACACCAGAGGCTGATCATAAAAGTCAGGGTATCACCAAAGTCTATAGTGGTAGACAGACAGACATGCCAATACTAATATCCACTGAATCTAATCTATGTTTTTTAAGCCATTAAAATTAGTGTGAATAGTTTTTGAGAAGTGTGCTGTCACACAAGGATGTTAGATAACTATTTCAGCAATTATCAAGATGATATCATATTTCATGTTAGTGGATGGGGAGAACCTTGCTTTAGATCTTCCTCATAAGAAAAATAAAACTTTGCCCTTATCAAGATGTCAGACAATAACCAGACAGACATTAGCAAATATGTGCATTTAAGCACAGATGACCATACACAGGCCCCCTATTTTTCTTGGAATATCATCAGTCTCTTAGTTGTTTTGAGCCAAACACAAAGCCTGTCCCCTACAAGGATCAAAGCCCAGCCGAGGCTTTCATGTGGTGCATTGCGTAGTGCTCATTGTGAGCCACTCGCCTTTTGTCCATGCATGTAAATAGTCGTGATGAAAGGGGCGGTGTTGTTGCAGACAGGGACCGAACTGAGTCGTGCTCACAGAGCCTGTCTGAACACATCGAGCTTTCTCTCTCAAAGGCTGCCTGTAAGCTCCTATATCTTCATGGCTCACTAAAATATTAATCAGGCCTGGAGCGATAGCAGTAAGGCCACAAAAACACATACACAGGTTCACATGTGAGTGCACATGCATTCATGGACACACACACACACGCACACATTGTTCAGGGCATGGGTCTAATTTAGTGCTTGAGTGCTTTTGATATCTAGTGGCTGGATGGCTCACTGTGGAGTACTGAGCCTCAGTCACAGACATGACTTCCTCCCCAGGGATGTCAGAGGAAACTGCAGAGTACTGTTACAGCGCTGCTGCTGCTGCTCACTGTACACAAAACATGTGAAATTGAGAATCTATCAGTCACACAAAAGACTGGGTTTACTGCTGCTTTAAATCAGTGCATATTGTTTGGGTGTACAATATACTGTCTGTCCAGTAATTAGTTACCACAATGGAGCCTGTCCGCACTAACAAAGATAGATGTCAGTAACCAGTCATGTAGGCATGAGAACCACAGTCCACAATCCACATGAGAACCACAATCTGCAAAAGAGCAGATTTATGGAGCATGATATTCTCATTTTGCTCGCAGCTGTTACACTTTCTGGGCGTATGGGTTCCAAGACATGATTGAATTTGAATGTGCTTTTCCATACATAAAGGTCAGTGCTTGTTGTGTAAACATCCCATGTAAACATTTTGTCATCAAGCATTTTTAAGCATCTACAGAGGCCCATGTAGATGAAACTGCGCATTCCCAAAAGTCTCAAAACAGGTCACTTTTTGACTTGCGCCTTGGTTTTTCGCGTGTCTGAATAAACAAATGTATGCAACGAGGGAGAACAAATTGCTGTACAAGGAAGCGAGAAAACAAAAAAAAAAAACACGCAAAGTGCCAAAATGAAGATGCCAGCAGTTGTCAGTTTGAATGTTCTGAGTCGTGCTGAGTTGACCTTACTAAGTTTGAGCTCTGTCGCTGCACATGTCAGCTCATCCCAGTCCAGGGTTTGTTACGAAGACAGCAGCAGGCACATTTTTAAGATACTGTCAATGCATAGCCTAGTTTTGTGAAAAAGTTGCGACACAAAAGAAGTTGTCAAGATCTGATAACTGTCCCTACACACACACACACACACACACACACACACACACATACAAATACTTCCATCCATCCATCATCAATCGCTTATCCTGCATACAGGGTCGCGCATACTTTTCAATTTAATTCCTTTTATGTTTCTCTGCAGGTGTGTTCTTTTTAAAGTATTGCCAGTCACATAAAGCTCCTGATCAGAGCAACACTGTATATCTGCAAATTGTATCACTGGGACAATCAATAACATTGGATAAACAGAATAACGACGCATGTACTCTTCTAATACATCCATGTCACTTAAGTGTTAGCCACAACAACTATTGGTCCAGGTCTCCATTAACTAGTTTTCCTCTACTGGTGTTGAAGCTAACAAGTTCCTATGATAAACTGGATGGGATGTGCTGAAGGAGGCAGTTGGGCTAAATTCTGACTTAGAGGTTGGTCAGATTTCATAGCTGTATCACTGATTAGCCATAACATCTGACCACTGACAGGTGAAGTGAATAACATCGATTATCTCCTATCATGGCACCCATCAGTGGGTGACATATATTAGGCACAAGCATAAGGATTTGAGCTACTTTGACAAGGGCCAAATTGTGATGGCTAGAAGACTGGGTCAGAGCCAGAAAACTACAAAACTACATCTCTTGTTGGGTGTTCCTGGTCTGCAGTGGTCAGCACCTATCAAAAGTAGTCCAAGGACGGAAAAACGGTGAACTAGCGACAGGGTCATGAGCACCAAGCCTAACTGATGCTCATGCGGCGCAGAAGGTGGCCCGTGTGGTCCGATCCAACAGTCGAGCTATTATAGGTCAAATTGCCCTAAAAAGTTGGGTCCTGCCATTCATGTGGATGCTACTTTGATATGTACCACCTACAAATGATTTAACACGGTCTGCAACACCCTTTTAATAGAGATGGGATTCACTGATGGCAGTGGTTTCTTTCAGCAGGATAATGTACCCTACCACAAAACAAAAAGGTTCAGGAATGGTTTGAGGAACACAACAAGGTGCATTGACTTGGTGTTGACTTGACCTCTAAATTTCCCAGATCCAATCCATGGAGACCCCACCTTGCAACTTACAGGACTTACAAGGATCTGCCCTGGTGCCAGAGGTGTAATGGAGTCCATACCTTGATGGGTCAGGGGTATTTTGGTGAACTACACAATATTAGGCAGTTGGTCATTATTTATAGCTGATCGGTGTATAGGCCTATACATTTACCTACATGAAATTATTTAAGCAAATGTAAAATGTAGGCCAACATTGCAGTTGAGAATACAGGGGTGTTACATAACTTCAGCCAGAGACTGGGGTATACCTCTATTTTGGAAACTGAGATCTTATTTAGAGTGAATTAACCGCAGGGCACAATATCATGAACAGGACTACAACATAATATAAGCCATTACAGTAGTCCTGCAATACAGAGAACTCTTCGGAAACTAGTTGATTTAACATGAATAACTTAAAATAAAATGCTTTTGAGTAGAATAGCAATAGCATAATATTACAAATCTTCACAAAGTAGTGTTGCAGGGCTATAGCATCAAATTGCATAAGAGGGAGCGAATCTTCGTGACGGTGTGTCCACCCCCTGTACCTATGTGTCCGCAGGCATCTCATGGCATTAAACACCAACACGCCGCATTGACTCCCACCGTAAATCTGTTTAAACGATCACCTGAATGAACTGTGACACTGACTAGATTACTAATTTACCTTCCACGAAATGTCGACATTGTGCACGCGTCAAATTTCACTCAGATCACTATCTTTTGCAGGTCTAATGAGTCATGACATTAACCGAGCCCGAAGCCCTCCTCCCACGCTTCTCCAGCCCACTCCTCTCTTTATTTGAGGCGCTCCTCAGCTCCGTTCTTCAGAGCACCAGGCGCCTAGTCAGCGCAGCTCTCTCCGGGACTCGGTGCTTGTTCCACATTTTCCTGGATATACCTTCATCTCGCCAAGATGAGACTTATTATTGTTGTTGTTGCGGTTGCGGCTTTGTTGACAGGTATGTGAAAGAGAGATGGGTATCTTCTTACAGAGTGCTGTAAGTTAGTGCGCGCAGTTTAGGACCATGGACAGAGACACCGATGACTCTTTCACTTTAATGCATGCGATCTTTTTCCTCGTGCAGTTTCACACTTGACTAAAATTTTAACACAAATATTTATTTTTTTCTAATGCAGAAAATCTAGCGCTTCCAGTGGGAAAAGAAGAACAGAGAGAAGATGTGGTATACTTTTTTTTAATTGCAATTTGATTATTAATTTTAACAAAGAGACAGCGATGTCCCAAACGCAGCGAAGAGCTCACTTACGTATTTAGTTTATTTTATTTATTGCAGGTAACACGATGCTTGGTTGAGGTCCTGTCCAAAGCTCTCTCAAAACCGGACTCCCAGCTGGATCAGGAATGTAAAGACATCCTCCAAACAGGTTTGTAGCAGAAGGTTTTTCGGTGTGCATGGGTCGATAGTAAACAGGCAAATTTAAAGCATTAAGGATATTGTTGATGATCACATCACACTTAATTGTCAGGTCGCTGAGACATTGATAGATTCAACTAAAAATGACTATTGTGGCAACCAGATGTTGAATACAGTAGAGCTATTAAGATATTTTACAGTTTTCACGCCAATACTCCACAGACAAGAGCTTAAAAACCAAGAAAACTTATTGAACCTAAATATCAAACAAGTGATTGACCAAATCATCAAATACAAGATGGGATTTGTCCAAATCCAGTGAGAAATCTATAATAACTAAAAGCTGTACTAAAAGTGGACCTTTACACCTCTTTTGGTCTTTCTTTTGTCCTGTCATAGGGATTAAACACACGCCACTGGACAAGAAGAGTGCAGAGGGTGTAGTAACTCACGGAGAGGTTATCAAAGGTCACCCTGAGGAGCCTGAGGCAAAGGGAGCAGATCTGAAAGACATCGAGGCTCTCCTGAAATCTGTGGAGGAAACAAGAGAAAACCCGGAAGACGAGCGCAGCCAAGAATCCTGGAGTCTGGGTGATGAGAAGGAGAAGAGACACGAGAACCAAGACGAAGAAGAGCGGGAGAAGAGGAGCAACTGGAGGTCTGGAAGATTCCACCAAAGGAAACACAAACGGGGAGAAGAAGAAGACTACGAGCGCAGTCAGGAGAGCTGGGGGGTAGCGGAAAAGCGATCAGAAGATGAAGAAGGTGAAGACAGAGAGAAGAGGAGTTGGAGGCCTGGAAGATACCACCAAAGAAAACACAAACGAGATGAGGAACCTTTAGGAGAGAGGGAGGAGCCAGAGGAAGATCGCAGCCAAGAGTACTGGGATGTAGACAAAAGGCATGGGAACGAGGATGAGAGAAACAAGCGCATATGGAAGCCCACACATCGTTACCACCACAAGAGAAAGCTCCACAAACGTAGCGACGAACCGTCAGAGGACGATGAAGATGACGAACGCAGCCAGGAATCATGGGGTCTTGACAATGAGAGAGACAAGAGGGACTGGAGGGTCGGCAGGTACCACCAGAGGAGGCACAAACGTGATGAGGAGCTCTCAGAAGAGGCCAGGGAAGAGCCTGATGAAGAACGCAGCCAAGAATCATGGGGTCTTAATGATGAGAGGGACAAGAGGGACTGGAGGGCTGGCAGGTACCACCAGAGGAGACACAAACGTGATGAGGAGCTCTCAGAAGAGGCCAGGGAAGAGCCTGATGAAGAACGCAGCCAAGAATCATGGGGTCTTAATGATGAGAGGGACAAGAGAGACTGGAGGGCCGGCAGGTACCACCAGAGGAGACACAAACGTGATGAGGAGCTCTCAGAAGAGGCCAGGGAAGAGCCTGATGAAGAACGCAGCCAAGAATCATGGGGTCTTAATGATGAGAGGGACAAGAGGGACTGGAGGGCCGGCAGGTACCACCAGAGGAGACACAAACGTGATGAGGAGCTCTCAGAAGAGGCCAGGGAAGAGCCTGATGAAGAACGCAGCCAGGAGGACTGGGGCTTTGACAACGGGCATGGGAATGAGAATGAGAGAAACAAACGCATATGGAAGCCCACACATCGCTACCACCACAAGATAAAGCTCCACAAACGTGGCAATGAACCATCAGAGGACGACGAAGATGACGAACGCAGCCAGGAATCATGGGGTCTTGATGATGAGAGAGACAAGAGGGACTGGAGGGCCGGCAGGTACCACCAGAGGAGACACAAACGTGATGAGGAGCTTTCAGAGGAGGAGAGAGAAGTGCCAGACGAGGAACGCAGCCAGGAGGACTGGGGCTTTGACAAAAGAAATGGAAAAGAGGAGGGAGAAATAGAAAAGAGTGTATGGAAACCATCACATCGAAACCACCATGAAAAGAAATATCACAAGCGTGGCGGAGGCTCATCAGAAGAAGAGGAAGAACAGAGGGGTGATTCAGAGGAATATGAGGGGGCGGCAAAGGACAGGGACGAAGCATTGAGGTACTTCTAACAACTTCTACTCTTTAATTTAGCAAGTTTGTTCTCTGCACCTTGAGCACAAAACACTGGAGAGTAATGCATGTCTCCAATCAACAGGGATCTAAATCAAATTTTGCACAGGAAATGAACAAACTCCTTAAGCAATGTGCCTGCATAAAAATGTATGGTAGAACAGCATTGGGGCTAATTGGGGTTGTTTTTAAGGTACCTGGCAGAGAAGCGCAATCCCTGGATTTTCAGAGGCTTCTACCATCCTGCATGGTATAAAAGGGATTCAGATGAGCACGCTGCAACCTCAAACAAGGTAGGCATTGTGTGTGTATATGAAAGGGAAATAGTTGTTAATTGTTTGTAGCTTTGAATGAGAGACTTCAAGATTCAACCCAAACATGTGGATTGAGGAAATCTGATCTATATATATATATATATATATAATTTTTTAAAAATTGTTATTTTTATACATTTTCTTAGCCTTTGAGCACATGTGTATGTAATATTACATAGTACTGACCCCATTTTGTAATTAACAAACTCAGTGTTTTGTATTTGTTTGTCATCCATATTGATTTCATCATCAATAACCAGTAGTTTTGATTAGCAGATCATTATTTTGGCCTACATTGTAGTTTAGACATCTGGTTTTGCCTTTAATGTGTTCAGATGGATGAACTAGCCAAGATGCTGAGCTATAAGATAAACCAGCTGGCCAAGCACTCTAATCATGAGGAGGCGAAGAGAAGCGTGCACCAGAGAGCACTTACCCCACAGGAGGTAAAAACGGCTTTCACCAACTGCAAAAATGACCTTTATGACTGATGTGACATGTTCACTTTGTTAAACCTCCAACAAGACCACTGAAGTCTAGCAAACACATTACATTATCTGCAGTACATACTGTAAGTTACTGTGCAACACAGAAAGAGTCAGGAATTGGGCAAAAAAGGACTATATAAAAATACATGCAAATCTTCAAAAATTGTAGAATCTATAAGTATCTATGTTTCATTTTTTTTAAATAGTCTGTGATGTAAAAACTCTAAACACTGCGTCATAAAACATTTCCCCCCATACATTTAAGCTGACCCCAGTAAAGCCGTGAAGCACATCAAGTACCTCCACCACACTGTTTCACTCGGGGAAAAAGCAGCCTGGCTCATTATGGAAATCTCCTTGTCTACATGGAGATGTCAGGATTTAGCCTTCAGAACCACAGAGCATCAGTGAATATGCCTCTGTTTGAATGCATATTAATAACGGTCTCTCAAGAGCATGTCCCAAATACGACTAGTAAGTCAACTATATTCACAGGCAGTTACTCGTTCCTCAGCTCTGGCATGCTTAGACTGATTTTAAAAAAATCTTTTTATCAAATCAGTAGTTCTTCACAGGATCCCTTTTCAGTGCTTGCTCTCTGAGCTTGTTTGTCCCAGTTTTCTATTTGCACTTTCCACACCAGCTTTTTATGACCACTGCAGTAATCGCACAAGAACATCATGATTAAAGCCCCCCAGAGCAATCAATGGCATAATATGGTCATTGAAAAGAGAGCAATGGCTCCCAATCTTGTCACATACCTTGAAGCAAAAAAACAAATCAGAGAGGAGGCGGCGTAGTGACTTTTTTCCCCCCACAATTCTAGAGCACCTTAACTCAAGGAATTATACTGACACGTTTAACCTAAACCAACCCAATCATTTTATCCTAATTTCTATTCCATACATTGTCAAAAAAGAACTGTTCCGATGTCATAACTAATGGTATTTGGTTGCTGATGCATATATATTCCATGTTTTTCCAGGAGAAAGAGCTGGAAAACCTCGCAGCGATGGACACTGAGTTGCAGAAAATTGCCGCCAATTTGCATGACAACAGTGCATAAGCCAGGGTGGACAGAATTTCATTTAGTGTATAAAAGCTGCTGTCTTACTGTATGTCTGAAATGTAGTGTGGTTACAGTTTGAAAAAAAAGAAAAGAAAAAAAAGCCTTGCCAAAAAACATTTTCTCAAACTTGTTTATCATGGTATTTGTGATATTTTGATGTTATCAAATTAATCCGCATGGGAATGGTTTTGATGTTTATATACAGTATGTATATTAAGAGAAACTATAAAAATAATATATATCTGAGACCATGTATTCAAATAATTGTGTTCTGAAGAATTTGTTGAGTTTGCAGTCAATAAAAAAGTATTATTCTGGGACCAAAAAAAAAATCTCTAATTATGTTTTGATGAAAAACAGGTTCACACATCAGGCTCTTTAGTACTGCTTTTTAATTCTGTGCAGATACAGATGTAACCCATAGTGAAGCTGTATTAGCATTGGATCAAATAACAAATGGCACTATCTGCAGGGATAACAAAATATTAAAAACAAGTTATAACCTAGAAGCTGGAGAAAATAACCTGGAAAAATTATACTGTTTGTACACCTTGAGGCATAAGACACAAACCTGTCACTTACTCTCACATACACCAAGCTCATACACCCTAAACTGACTTACAGTTTACTCCTCAGCATTACACCTACATCTGCGCTGATCTGAATACACCAGACAGGAGATAGTGTTCTGATGAATGCAAACCAGACACTCCATCTCCCTTATTCCGGATGTGTCAAATCGATTCAGAAGAGAAGTCAATGCTGGAGGAAAATCTCTATAAGCCATGTGTAATGTGCCCTTAAAAGATTTGATTCTTTTGTATTTGTTTATCCTTCAGTGTCTGTCACTTTCAGTCTCTTTGGTGCTGGTTCCTCAGCTTGCTGAGCGCCTGCAGGTTTCGAGCGGTCCGTGGCAACCGTTGTTCCGGAGAGGAGGTAGCCCCCGCCCCCGCTCATCAGTAGCACAGGATGTGTCCTGTTAGGCAGCACCTTGGGACACGATGCAGAAATACAGTCAGGACACATTAATTCTACACGAAGGGCTGGGGGATCTCTATTGAATATGCAAAAACATCGTTTTCACACAGTTGCTGGACAGTACACAATTCTGACTAGAAAAAAAACAAATAAATTAAAAAAAGAGGGGGCAGTGAGAGCAAATGATGGGAGTCTCTGTAATAAAGGATTATAGGCACTGACCAGTATCTCATTGTAAATAATTAATGCGGCCCAATGTAGCATCTGCAACACAGTCAAACCAATACAAAGTGGAAAGAAATTAATTTCTTTCCCTCGCAGTAAATGAAAGACTTAGTTTGGGCTGAAACAATTAGTGGATTGGCAGAAAGATTTATCAGCAATAATTCTGATAATCGATTTAATGGTTTAAGCCAAAAATGTCATGACATTGGCTGGTTCCAGCTTCTAAACTGAGAATTTTATATCATCACAAATTAATATTTATGGTCAAACAGTTGATGTTGGTCTGACACAGTTACAAATTTACAATTTTCTGTCGTCTTGTCTTGTTTGTCGAGTTTGGTGATTATTCTGGGTGAGTTCATTACATTACAGCCATGTGATCTTTAACTATATAAGTCAAACAAAAAACATGAATCACCAATTTATCAGCTTCAGAGTTTAAATTGTACCTGGTAATGTCTGAGCCAGGTGTCTGTGAGCCTGAGGTTGACCGTACCGCCTTGTTCCTTGAGTTTTGTGTAGCATTCGATAAGAGTCTGCAGAGATTGAGGGCGAAGAGACGGAAAAGGAGCATAAAGGCAAGGACTGCAGAGTCCACAAGTCGACACACACACAGTGATCTTTTTAGCAACATAAGCACAACAGAGGTAATAAATGCTGGGACGTGATAGGCATTGTAACTCCTTGGCGGTGACAGGGATGTCCGCTGCAGTAATGTAATAAGCACGTTCCTGCTGGAACTCGGAGCAATTAAAACCTGCGTGCAGTGGCAGCTAATGAGAGAGCTTTCTAAGATAACTAATGATCCTCAATCAGTGCGGGAAATCAACCGAGTTAGCACTAGTGATGATGATCTTACCTCTTTGTATTGGGAGTACACCACAAAAGGCCTGGAGGGGGAGAGGAATTTCAGCAGGCCCATCAGGACTGGACATGAGTGAAACCGACTGGCTATAACCAACCTGCATGTGGGAAACAAAGAGATGATCAAGCAAACTTGTCCAAACATGAAATACACTGGCACCAGCACACTTTGTTACTGGAAATGTGTAGGTAGGCAATATCAGAATACAGCTGATCAGCACCGTATGAACGGGATTTAGTACCTATTCATTTCATACTTTATGTAGCTGGATGTCAGTGAAAAGAGGCAGATTTAGGGCAGTCTAGAAAATTGTGCTCCGAGGTATTGTTCCATGATATAGCTGCTATGATGTAGAGAAGACTCAGAGGAAAGACAATAGCCTAACCAGATCAATACTTCCCCTCACAACACTACATCCATCAATCATAAAAAAGCTATGAAGCAAGTTCTTCATTTTATAGGACAGGAAACTGCGAAGCAATCACTTGTTCACCTTGTAAGGTCAACGTGTGCTAATCATTGTGTGTGTGCTCAGAGAAAGGCAAAGGATTTATGACTTTTACTGACAACTGGTTTGGTGGTCATCCCCCAAGGAAATTTTTATGTTTTCTGTGACGGTACGCTTCGACTGCCATACAAATGAGCCTGGCTCTTTCGCGTCACGGTCAATGTTGCATGTGTGGTTCTCTGTAGACCCGGGTTCAAATCCGGATAGGGTGACTGCCCTCGCCCTTCGCTACATTTTCCAATAAAGAAATATGCAATTCGACATATTTTGGAATTATCATCACTACATCTGTGGAAAATCTAGAGCAGATTTTGAATAAACTACACTCCAAAAGCTAAACTTGCTAAAGAAGTCTACTGGGTAGGAATTAACCATTAGATCTGGGAAAAATTCATTTGGTTTGGTTTGATGCTATACACAATGATTTTACATTCATGGCGTGGCACCAAGCAGTTCTGAGCCCTCAACACCTTATAATGGCAGGAAAACACTTAATATGACGTCAGAATCATTACAGATTGGATTATTCATGTTTGCCTTTTGTGTCTCAATTTACTGCTTTATACATTAGTAGAAATTAACATCCCATCCCTAATTTGTTTTACTAACCTCAGCTCCCAATGGTCATCCCCGTCCTTATTTTAAATGTAATTTAAGATAAGAGCTGTAACCTGGCAACTTAATGTTAATCTTTTCCTCCACTAACTTCCATCATCACTGTCTGCCGCTCTCTCTCTCTCTCTCACATTCACTCGTCCTTTGAAGAATGAGGAGAGGGAGACAGCCATATGTTCAATGTTACCGTCAGTGTTGGGCTTTTTTAATTACTTTTCCCAGTTACTAGTAGTGTAATGGATTACTTTTCTAAAACAGTAATCTTATTAAAGTTACTAATCCAAGTAACGCTGCGTTTCTGTGTTACTGAACGCACCACCCTTGATGTGAATGCGCAACTGCAACATGTGCAGACAAACAGTAGTTCAAAAGTCGGGATTTACTGGCTTTATTTTTTTATCTCAACTGGTGGCGTTAATAAACGTTATGTTTTGTAAAAACCATACTGTTGCTGCTGTTATAAAAATGATATTCGTTAAAAAGTTGGGAGAGACTGCTTTGTTTGGGGGTGAGTGGTAGTTAAAGTAACAAAAAAAAAATAAAAAAAAATAAAAACATTCTAAAGCACTGCGGGAGCATTTCAATGAGCATTAGAGGTAGCGTTACATGGACGTTAGACAATTAAGACCTGTTTAAAATTATTTAAAACCAAAAATACAATACTTCAGCGAATGTAAGACTTTTTAAGGCCTAAAATTTGGATTTTGAAAACTTTTTTAGACCCCGCGGAAAGCCTGTACTTGGCGCCATCAAGAACTGATGAAGCAGAGGTGCAAGTGGATGATGATGAAAAGAGCAGAGCAGCACAGAAAAACAAAAGTATGAAAGCAGAAACTAAATCTGACACAAACCCATCTGCATTCCTGCCTTCCAGCAGGGCAGCAGCAGCTGCCAGCTTCTTCCGTTTCTCCTCCAGCTTCACCTTTTTTTCCTGAGCCTTAAAAAAAATACATGAAGTCAAGACATTGACACTCTCTTTCAGATCTTTCCAGATTTTGACATTTCTTTTTTGAACATGCAGGCTTGTTCCTGTTACTTAAAAATATAAAGGCACGACAGTAATATTTTAAGTAGGGTTAGTAAATAGTGGGCATACTTTTGCTTCTTTGCGTTTCTCCATCTCTTCTTTCTCCTGGTCATGGCCACCATCAGCGCCACTGCTCGTATCCATGCTCTGTTCCTCTGGACCGCCCTGCTGTTCTGCCTTAGGCTGGTTTTGCTTCTCCTCTGCAGCCAGGTTGGACTGCCTTAAATCTGTAATGTTGAAGGAGATAATGTATCGGAGGAATGTCTCAGAATACATGTGTGCCATGATAAATTACTCGTTTTTGTAATTCTGATTATATATGCAAGTGATTGTTTTATTTTAAATTTTTACTGACGATTGTTAGTCTATGTATAGTTTATAAAAAGGTTAAAAAATAACAAAAAAATGATGCACCAATTGATCAGCAGATGACTGGTTTTCAGTTTCAGTTCAGTAAAGTAAGGAAGAGAGGAACAGCAAGAGACAGGTGTAGGTGGGTGCATGTGTGTCTGAAGGGTAAAGCAAGAGGAGGACATTAAAGTAGTTTGTATGTAAACCAGGCTTGGGTCGGTTTTAAGGTATACTGCGGTATGAAAAAGTAAACGATTGAAAACAAAATAATTTCATTATAACGTTGCTTCAGTATCTGCTGTTTTTTAATGTCTGTCAAAAATGGCAAGTGCAGGAATCCTGCAGGTTGTGTATAGCGTAGAGAGTGACACAACCCCTCTGCTCCACAGCACTCTTGTGTGTAGGAAGGCCGCAGGAGGGGAATCCCTGAACATTTTACTCTGTCAAAGAAGACTCCTTATTCTGCTCTGGACCTGCTCAGTTCAGCCTCTCAGTCTGGACTCTTGGGTAGGTAGGCTACTGTTCCAATCTGCTCTGCACAGCAGCCACCAACCCGGTTCGGCACGCACCTAATCTTTTGCTTTTCCCCGGCTCAATCTCCAATCCCTTCAACCCAGCAGTAAATATGCCTCTTTTATCTAACTCCTCATTCTCTTAGTCCTGCACTAGGGTCTACTAGCCTACACATAAAGTTAAAAACAAAGTGTTGGTAATGATAACTTGCTGTTTCAGTTAGCTTACGCAGTGAGAATTAAAAAAAACAGAGTGCGCTCTCTCTTTTTCTCTCTCTCTCACACACACACACACACACACAGACATTATTGAGCCGCCGTTATCTCTCTGCCATCGGATTCTCCCTCACTCATATCACTGCCAGAACCTCTTGGGCATTTATCCTTCTTTTTCTGTAGCTTTGAAGCTCAAATAATGACATTCGGGCCAGCCCTAAAGATAAGAGAGTTAGCGTGTTTAGCACTTGTGAAATAAATACTATTAACTCGCAACCGAGGCAGATAACATGGCTAATTAGCCAGCTAACATCAGCTGGTTTCACCCCTCGTCTTACTTCACAGAGGAGGAAAAGCAGCTATGTTTCTGTGATTTAGTACAATAATTAAATATGTGCATCAACACTGAAATAACAATAATCTATTTTATAGCGTTATTTGATATTATTCTTAGCAGCAGTAGTACATGTTACTTAAAAATAAAACAGTGTTCACTGGGAAAAAGTTTATATTTTTTACCTTGACATTTAAAAATAATACATTTTAGAGCTGCAATCACTACACAGTGATAACATGATGTTTTTAAATAATAAGAAATAGAATAAATGTATTATTTCAAATTTCATCTGTACAAAAAAGCTCTGTCCAGTAACCTAACCTGAATCACTTTTTATTTTGAGATTTGTTTGAGTGAGAGAAGGTCCTGTAACCTGATGCAATATTGGATACAATGTAAAAGTTATTTAATAGTTAATGTTAACCAATAATAGAAAGTGTTTTTTGAATGCGGTCAATTATAGTTCTTAGAAAGAAAGATAATTGGTGCATCCCTATAAAAAGACCATCAGAGGAATTCAGGCAAATCTCAGCATTTGTAAAGTTGTGACTAAGAACTGTTGGTAGCTTGTAGCTACTCCGTTTCATCTAAGAATAACAAGGCTATAAAGATCTTTGAGATGGGAGATAAAGAAGGAAAGCTCTACCAGCACTGGGATCTTTGGCAGTGGTGTCCAGAGTACCTGCCAGCAGAGCATTGACATGGCAGATGGGAAACTCATGCAGCATATCATGAAAATGTGCAGGGAAGCCAAAGTTCTCCACACCCGCCCGAACAGGCCCACCTCCAGGGTACATTTGGATCACGGAGCCATAGCCTGGATGAGGAGGAAAGAGATGGTTAGTATACAAAGGGCAGAAAAAAAGGCTTTACAAAGAACAGAAAGATGGAAAAAGCTACAATCATTTGGTCAAATAAACACAACAGAAAAATTCATGGGACATTTCACGTACCCCCCATTCTTTCCATGACGGATCCCAGCACCAGGCCAGCGCAAGTCTCAAACACCAGAACTTTACTGCCAGCGTGGATGTTTGCCAGAGTCAACATCTGGGCAAGTGTGTCATACCGTAGGTGGCTGTATCGCATAAAAAAAAAAAAATACATACACATCACACATTCACCACTTTCTACTCAAAAAAATAACTTTCACACATACTGTTAATCCATCTGCTGACTCACAGGATCTTCCCTGGTTCCCGGCCATGGTACATCATAGCCAGGATGCGACAGGATGGTTTTAGAATCGTAACAGTGTTTTCATACCTGGAAAAGCACAGGACGGGAACAACTGATAACCCTAATTACAGCATACTACATTACTTTAAGTCTGAAACAAACTGTGGGTTTATCATCAGAAGTGACTCACTTTTTCTTTTTCTTCTTGATGTACTTATCCTGGGCATATTCAGTCTTATCTCTGAATGTTGAGCTGTTCTCTATAAGCTGCTGAATTATTTCCTGTGGAGCACACACACATACACGCGCACACACACACGCACACACACACACTGTATCTAGTCTCTCTTCTGTTATACTTTAACAGTTTATCTGCTAAATTAAAAGATAAGGTTCCCATGACAAGACAAAAAAACAACAATGTGTTGGCCCATCTCTCAATAGATTTTGATTCCCCATCCTGCCTGTGGCACTCAGCCCCAAGCCCACTGCTTCCTACTTAAGATGTAAATCTTTAACAATGGGTCCAGGGCTGTAGCCAGGTTTTTAGAAATCGTGAGATCCTAGTTCAGCTAAGGGGGGTTTAGAGCTAAAAGTTACACAGACAGAAAAATCTAGCTTAACAAACACATACATGACCACAATATAAAAAATGATTTTATCAGGTAGTTGTGCTTTTTGGAGCTGGGAACACTGCCTACCTAATATACTGTGGTTGCTACACCCACCAAAAATGGCATGTTCAATGAAGGTTTTGACATATTTCAAACTTATTTCTTTGCAACCCCCCCACCCCCCCTCTCTCGCTCTCTCCCTCTCTCCCTCTCTCCATACATACATACACACACAGTCCCCAGATTCAAGATACATGTTACATGCGTGTCGACGGGTTGAGCCAGCAGATGATGCCAAAGTTTGTTCACAACACACCTCGTGAACCTCATGCCCCGCTACGGCCATGAATCGGTCACAAATATTTAACTTCATTTTAAAAACAGGCTGAGTTATATCCGCCAGCTGAGCACTGTAGTTTGTAGCAAACATTACTCAAAGAGTACTAAATAGTGTATTTGTTGGTGACACTGGTGAGTACTGTGTACTGTGTATGTGGATTGACTCAATTTAAATTACTGTGCTCATGTTCATCGTAATAGAAGGACTATGCCTCCAGTGCAACAGTGAGGCTCATTGATGTGGGGGTTATTTTGGATTAGATCAGGTTTTGGTGACACAGGCAATACTTGTTAGTAGGATCTATTTATTGTTGGTTTTTCCATAAAAGTTGATGAAAAAAAGTAGAATATTGCCAGTGTTATTCTTTAATAAGCAGACAACTAGCAGTGCTGCGATACTTTCCCATTCTTGTATGTAATTGCAAGATTACTGATGTACCTGACCCTTCAGACCTTGCTCTTTGAGCATCTCAATGTCATCCCTGGTCAGCTTCTGTGATTTTCCATCATCTACAATGTTTCTGTTGTCTGTGCCTGCCTCCTTTGCATCTGGGAAGAACACATACAGCGATTACTCAAAATGAAAGAGTAACTGTTAGAAGTATTTTACATATTTATACATACAGGAAATATGAAAATGACAGATTCAAACACACACAAATTAAAATAAAATGTTATAAAAAGTTTTGTTGCATAGCTCAAACATAAATGTGTGGGATTGAAAAGCAGGTTACACACCAGTGGAGCTCTCCACGTCTTTTGGCTTTTGTGGCTGCAGGATCCCTCCAGACACAATTTCAAATGTGGTGCTATACAACTGTCCCACAGATTTATCCAGGAAGAACCACTGCTTCTCAAAAATCACCTTCCTGTGAGTAGAACAGACAGACAACGGTCTCTTTTCAGCCCTCAGTGTTGCATCCCGTTTACAAATGTTGTCATCTAACATTACTGAAGGCCTTCCTAGGAGGTTCACTTGGTATTTGTGCAGTGCCCAGAGATTAGGTGATTTTAAATGAACAACTCATTTCAAATTACAATTCAATATCACGCGAGAAAAATGTCATAGAAAAAAAGGAATGTACTGCTCAAATGACCTACACGGGGTCTATTTAGCACACCTGTGAGTGTGTCTGTAATTTCACTGTGTGAACCTGAAGAAGCAATGGGCGAAGCGAGTTGCTCACAATAAATGTAGTAACTAAAGTCATATCAGTGTTTAGCCAGGTAGCTTGTGTTTGACTTTTCATAGCCTCATCCTGCTATCTCCCAGCACCTGACTGTTGTTGCTGTGCTCGGGGAATTTCTTGTTTTATAGTTAAATATCTATTAATAGTGAGATGGCAGTTATGGTTTAGCTTGAACCTGCTTGTGCCTTTTGCAATTATAACGTTAATAGTCAAACTGAAGCTAGTTAAAAGGCGTACTTGTACTGTTTTTGACTTACTTCTTCGGTTGAATTTGCACAGCTTTGAATATATCTCCTCGTTTCAACACAACGTAGTCACCCTCTTTGATTCTGTACTGCGAATCATCGTCACCGTTGTCCGCCATAATTACGCAGTTAAACCAGCTCACCGGCCAGATCGGAGGTAACGGTCACCTTCAGAGGATTATATGGAGTAATCCCTGACAAGGCACGGTGAGAAAAGGCACTATACTACCCTACAGTAAAAGCAAAACAGGGCAAATTGCTATCCCCACGTGCTGGTTTTCATTTCCCTAGCTTCTCAGGACGACTAAACAATTGCAGATTGAGGTTAGTGCGCCGCAACAACATAGTCGTCTGTGATTGGCTGGATATGCATCACTGATGTTGCTAGCCAATAGGAGCAAAGTGCGAATGCCAGGTAAAAATGTAGATTTCAGAATCGTCGATAAACGTGGACTTGTACAATAAGGCCTTGTTATGTTATCGTCAGTTATACATACGAGAGGGAGCGGGTGCTGAAACTGCAAGTTGAGCTTACACTCCAGGCAGTGGTGATTACTGGCATGTTTGTTTTAGCGCGAGTGCTTATTAATGAACTCATATTGAGATGTAAGTCTATGGTTAACAAGAGCATTTGGCAGCTGTGTGAGAAGAGGGTATATGTGTGTGTGTATATATATATAATCTCATTCCTACCAACACAGGAGCTGATACTGTTGGTGTTGGATTGCATTTCAAAACAATTATATGGTGCAAATATGGCAGATGTGTGACCACATTATCACCCAGCCTGGGTGGGTGAGTTTCATTTCCCTCCATGGAGGCACAATCTGGTGTTTTGTTACTGCTTTTTAATGGTGTGCCAACTCCACCTGCCCACCACTAGTGTACAGCAGGGTAGAAGTGGGGCGGTCTCAGAGAATCCTACACTGCACAAGAAATAACAGGATTTGGTCAAATAAATTATGCAACATGGGAAAAATCTTAGGTCACCGGCAATTCTCAGTGAATTTTCAAATAACCCAACTGAAATCCGATAGTAAGTCATGGTGACTCCAGTCCAAACCTGTAAGTTGTTATAAAGTTAGAATTACAGTAGTGTTTAGTTGTTGTGTTAAGTTTTGTCAAAATGGTGACAATGGGTTGAAACATCCTGACTTAGTTCAGTACAGTGCCATTTGTAATGGCACTTTAATATTCTAATATGGAACAGATGTTATGCCATTACACTAAAAAGATAAGCAGTTCAGCCACTTTGGAGGGGGAAAAAAACGCCAGTAAAGTATCTGAATTGCAGCAAATCTTGAGTAGGTTTCTTAACACTAACAATGTCTTCGAGTATGTTCTGAAGCTGTCAGGTTGTAAGTCACAATGTTTATGAAGTCCATCATAACTTGAGTTCTTTTTTTAAGCTTCTCCTTTCAGGCCATGTGGCAGCACATAACACTGTGAGTATGAGTGTATATGCATTCCATACAGAGACCAGTACAAAATTAAGCATGACAATCCCTTGTCAGGTTAACATAAACAGAAAAAAACAGATTCTCTGTCGCTGTGAATTCTGTTTTCTTCAAGCACAGACATAATATATTTGTGAAATTACAGTTCATCACTGTAAGCAACAAAGCTCATTACAGTCTATGAATTAAGATTAATTTGACCCTCAATGTGAAATACAAAAACCCCCTTTAATGATATAAACATTTTTGTTTGTGAAAATGAGGACATCTCTTTGCCTTAAAAAAAAGTATCATTCTTACAAATATTAGCTGATCCAAGTTTTGAGAGAAAGACACATCTGGACTACATATTTACATCAACACCAACCACCATTATATTTATAGTGCAGGTACATTGCTATAACTCTATAGCAGGATATATAATGACAGATTTGTTGCTATTGTAAGTGTATTACATTGTATTACATTTTCTTCTTTCTTTGGTGATTTGCTCAGTGTTCAGTGTTACCTCTGCTACAGAAGATGAATTCTGTCCTTTCACATTGTGTCATGTATGTAAATAAGCAACAGATGTAGTGTAAGAATCACAGAGCTCATTCTTGGCCTCCAGTAAGTTTATGGAACATGTCTTCATCTAGAGTCTCGTTCTGGTCTTTAGATCTTGTGGAGAGGAAGATGTAACCACCAATGAACTCATGGACCACCTTGCAGTCACAGCTCAAACAGCAGAAGGCTATTGACACACTCTGGTCGAACTCTATGGTCACCTGGAATTACATAAAATTGCATTTGTCAGAAGTAATACTGTCTGTAGGCAATGACTCCCAAACTGCTACCTTGAATGAAGAGACAGGTAAAGTCGTAATATATGCAACAACAACAATCCCCCACCTGTCTTATCTCCCAATTAACATTCCACTGCTTCACGTTGGCGAACCTCCATGTGGTGACAGGCAGACCAGAGGACATGTCAAGACGAATCAGACGGTTATATGAGATCCCCAGAATCTCATCCTTCTTACTGCCTTTAAATCTGAAACGCAAACAAAAGGATAACCTCAAATTATCATTAAGAAGTGACATTTGCATGTTCAAATATGTCACCAATTATATGTGTATTACACCTAAATATATGCACTGTACCTGACAATGTAGTAGTTGATACCGAACTCTGGAAGCGATTGCCACGCCTGGATAAAGCGCATCTTGGCCTCCATTAGGGACAGCCGTGCTATGTTGTGATGAGCCTCCAGGATACGTGCTGTTAGCTTGAAAGGATCACCAGAGGCAGATTTAGCAAATACATTTAGTGATAACAGTGATGTAACCCGGATGCATTTTGGCAAAGTCTAGTATATTGCATGTTGCCCTTAAACAGACCTGTTTGGTCTTCTGCTTCTTGGCGTAGCGTGGGGAAACAAAACTTTCAGAATTCATCTCCATAGCGTCAAGGTCAGGTGCTGCCTGACCAGGAGGGGGCGCCAGGCTCTTCATTTGCAGAAAAGACTGGATGTTCTTAACTTCTGTTTTGTAGGAGCTGTAGGCCATTGTCTTGCCCTTTGAAGCCAGGATACATGCAGCTTTCCATTTGGCGTACTGTGTTTGCTGCAGCAGAGGGCAATTACAGAACACTGATAGTTATAATATCAGTTCATATATGCACGCATTACAGGGATTTTAAAAGGAGGCAGTTTCACTAGTTATCATAGGAAAAAATGCTCCTACGGATGAGGACAAAGGTTTGGGCCTTACATTGTCACATCGGATGTACACTTCATTCATCCCGTCAGCAACTGGGAGCAGGAGCTTGATGCCGAACTTCTTGTCCGTCACGTTGACATCTGGGACTACATCACAACCTGTCAAATACAGAGTGAGAGACGGTAGTGAACTACAGGTGAAGAGCAACAAGATACAATAGATTTGCTAATAGTTTCACAGAATAAAACTACAGTTACTGTGGCAGATTTAAGGAGAATACCAATGAATATTAAATAGGACTATGACGGTGGATAATGCAGAGAATTGCTTAGGCTCACTGGAATGACATAATTACACGTCATGGATGAATGCTTAAATTGAGGATTATTAATGCTCAGCAATACCAATTACACAAAGAAGGATTTTTCACATTGTTCTTTTTCACTGACCTCGGAGGTGAAACTGCTCTATGGGTTCTCCACTGGCGGCCTCCTTGTTCTTGTAGTAGGAGATGGTGGTGTCCTTGAATACAAACCAGTACTCTTTGTACGCCCGCAGCGTTAGTCTTTTGGGCCTGATTTAAGGCATGAGGAAAAACAAATCTTTTCTTTTTGCCTATAATACAGTTCATGCCCTTATCTGGTTAAAAGACTGTAAGCAAAACAGAGTAAATAAGGGCAATGGACAGGTGAAGGTTTAAAGGACCACAAAAGATCAATTTCAGAGACAGGTATTCAAGATGTTACTTAAGTTATTAATAATGACATCTTCATGTGATAGGAAAATAGGTTGAATAAAGGTGGGTTTACCTAAACAGCCGGAGGGAATCTGCCAACTCTGGAATGTGTGTAATGTCTTCCTGGGGGTGTGACAAACAACTGTCAATTACCCTGTGTCTTCTCCTGACATCACCATGTTAAGACATGCAATCATCCGAGGCCTACCTATCACTCCTGCTTATAAACAGGTGTTCTACGGTAACAGACGTGAAAACCTCTAAAATTACGGTCAAAATACACTCCAGTGTAGTAACGTGTAAAAAAAAATATGTTTACCAGAATTCTGTCTGCGTGTCCGCCTTCAAGTGTCACCTCCAAGTTGGACAGGGCAGCCTCTACTTCATCTATTTCTGGTTCGTTGGAGTTGTCCAGTGGCTCACTTGACATGGTCAATTTACAAATGTGATACTGAGAAAAAAGAGAAAGCTTTTACTCCATAAGTAGAAAACCCTCATCTGACTTTCATTTAAGCAATGATCAAATATTTAGTTTTGCAAATAACAAGTCATTACGAAGAGATGTGACTTAAGAGGTTATGCAAGGCTGGCATGAGTCAGAGGGAGGTTTGAGCACAGGCCAGCAATTGCACCAATGTGTAGGTGAGTGCAACACTGATGTCCTTTTGAATCACTGTGATTTCTGAATCACTGTCCCAGCAGTTGCAAAATAACAGCTGAACGGATCAGAGATGGTCTGAAATTTAAACACTGAGAATGTCATAGCCAAACTTTCATATCATGGTTAACATTAGTTCCTTAGAGCACATTTGGCTGATGGGAACCTTCAGCCAAATCTTACCGTACTACTTTTCCCACTACTCAATCTCTCTTCCTGTACTTCTTTTTCTCTGTCTTTCCCTCCCATCCTGCCTCTTCAGTGGGATTTTCCTCATGTCCTGACACGTCCTGGCATGGATTAAGACACCAAACCCGTGCACCCGGATGGATAATATTCTCAGCTCCAAGACACACATAAACTGTATTTACAACTAATTTAGGCCACATTATTGTGCCCTCCGGAGAACTGTGGTTCATGATTCATTTACCATGAGTACCATAAGCTAATTTAGTTCTAAAATGAAAAAATGCATTTAAATGCTAAAGATATAGTTTTCTCTATATATAGCTTATTAGTTTTATTATGCTATAGATCCAGGTTTTAACACTTAGTCAAGTGACTTTCTTGAGTTATGATTAGGCACCCTGCCTTCTGCCAAGTGCTGAGCTCTTGGTCATATTAAATAGGAATATGAGAGTTTATATATATATATCCTAACATTGCCCAAACAGGAATTTAAATGATTCAAATTTAGTTTGATACATTAAAGCAAATGAGTACCATTCCAGATCTAGAGTGATCTCTGTTTTGAAATTACTTTACGTACTGATGCATAACCTTTTATCGCTTTTGTAACTGTGATAGCATATTGTTCACCTGTAATGAAGCAAACATCAGCATTTCCTCCTCTGTGCAGTCTATCTCCTCCAGCAGGATGGACCAGCGCGCTTGTTCATATAGCTGCGTTATTCTGACAGCATCATACTAAAACACAAAAAAATCAAACCTTCAAACCAAGTCTGCCCCGATGTTATTTGAGGGAGTTTAAAAAACAATAGTTTATCCAAGCATCTGTCACTTTTCTGGGTCTCTTACTTTAGGATTGAGGTCAAAGAAGACATTGTACTTGAAGCGAAGCAATAGCTTTTCTTCATCTTGGATGTCTTGCTCCATAAGAGAACGAGACGAGTCCAACCACCTGTCAATCATGGCAACAACCAATTAGATGAGCTGTGGTTAGAAATAGCCACATTTCATAACACTACTAGTAAAATCAATGATATCACTAAAAGGTTTCAGTGACATTCCATCTTTCTGTCCAACTACCCTGCATTGTTGTTTGCTTTGTCCACTAGCGAGAGTGGCTGGTACATCTTGGCCAGCTCGGCAGGTGGCAAGTTTGGCTGGCATTCGGCTAGAGGGTTTTCTCCAAACCAAAGGCTCGTGGCAGACACTGGCATCCCGTTCTCTGGGTCGTAGGTGGCTGTCATGGTCTTACTGTACATGGGGCCTTGTTGAAGGAGAATGGTAGATTAAAATCAGGTTTGCCAAAAACTGCTAGGTTTCAATATCAATAACGTATTTAAAAGGGGAACTGCACTTGAAGTTGAGTCCGGGAAAAAAAAGTATAAAACCAAAAGAGAAGAATCAGTTAGAATAAAATTTTGACAGAAAGATTTAGAGTCATAAAAACAAAATAACATCCGACACTAAAGGCAGCAGAGTCTTAATTAGAGTGATTTTGCAGTTGATGCAGAATCCGAACTGGATGCTCAGTGTAAGAGTGAGAGAGTACGTGTTAGGGAAACCCTGAAGAACACGGCAGCATACTCAACAATTCTTTCAGATCTCACTGATGAAAACTGTGGCCTATCAGATCTCTGCAGCACTATATATAGATATTTCCCATTTCTTCTCCTCCTCCAGTAGAAGTAAATCATAGAAATAAAGATGCTACCCCATCTAGGGCTGGACAATAATCTAAATGTATCACTTTACAGACATTGACAATCTCCTACTGACCCAAATTCAGTCAAGGCTGATTTTCAATACACTAACTGTCAGCTTCCCATAAAATATAAGTGAGAATCACTACAACAATGATGTTTAACTAGTAGTTCAACCAACCAGTTAGCCCACAGTCCAGTCCAGAAGACCAGAATCTTTAAATGGTCATAATTAATTACAAACAAATCAAAAATGAGTCAACATGAGGAAGGAAATACAATGCATGGATGTATTAAAATATTATATAAATACATTTTATCATTACAATTTATTGTGATGTACATTTTAGGTTATATTATCTAGCCGTAGAGTGTCTGAGATCAGGGAATCCTAAAGTAAAGCCTAAATAAATAAGTAAATCGTTAACTTCCTGCACTGGCTTGACAATGTCATTCATTAAATGTAATCCATAAATGTAATAAATAGATCAATGATATGCTGGAATCCATCAAATTAAATAAATGAATCCATAAAAATGAACAAGTCCTCTGCAAGCTAAATATACAGTAACTGGAGTTTTAACTGAGATCAGACATTTTATTTTCTTCAGCAAACTGATAAACCTTAGCAGGCAATTCAAACACAAAGCATCAATATTCCACATAGTATGTTTCTTTTCATTTTGTGAGTGTTAGCCTGAATCTTTTCAGTGATGCTGCAGATTACTTTTGAAACAAGATCAGGCGCTTCTGTGCTGTGAAACTTTTGTTTTTTGCCTTGTTAAGAAACAGCCCAGTGTTTCACAGTACCTGTGCCACCTGGTCCCCCCTTAAGTAAATCGATGTCCCAGATGTCTTCCTGTGTTGAGTTCTTGTCTTTCTTCTTCTTCTTCTTAGAGGGATCATCTGGAGGCTTCAGCAGGGACAGTTCCTCTGATCTTCTGATGTCTGAGAGGGAGCAAACAGGTGGCGGTGCGGGGGGATCAGGAAGAATATAGAAGGAAGTTAAAGATCAGTCAAGGATGTTTCTGTCGGAGACATGCTAAATCATAACAAAAGCACCAAGGACAAAGGGACGCTGCAGTCAGAAAGGACAAGAAAATCTCACTGAGTATTTGACAGATCTCCGCCACCGCCTTGAAGACCACACTGGAGAAGCTGACGGTCATTTTGATGGTTTTCATATTGGGGAGTTGCAGCAACAGGGGTTTGTGCTGGGGTGTATAGCGCAGGTCAGCATCAGCCTGTGTAGAAAAATAATTTTATGAAATTACATGAATGACATGTTTTCCTTTATTGTTATATTGTTATATAACAATTTCCCCTATCCCTTTATCTTACCTTTTTTCACATTTTCACATACCATATTGGAATGCTGATAATATATATAGTATTATATATATATATATATATATATAGTAGTCTGCATCGCATTCATTGCACACGTTTTCCTGATGTTCTTTCACATGAATTTGGTCATTAGAAGAATGTTCACTACCATTCTTTGGGCTTGAACAATGCTTGGCTGTACAACATGTGATTTCATTATAGACCCAGCAAATGGTTCACACTGGTCTGACAAAATAAAAACACTGATGGCTCTCCCTGCTTTAAGCAGCTTTAAACACACACAATTAAATTCCTATGACTTTGACTAGAGTATGTTACTGCACGACAGGCATTCAAATTGTTTTTTACCTTTGTAGGAATATATTTCAAGAAAGATTTTAAATATATTTTTGAATTAGAATAGTTAATTAGTTATTAAATCTAATAAGGGACCGGACAATTATAAGAAAATATAGATTCAATCACTTTGGCATCTATATATTACCTGAATTCCATACTTGTCCAAGGTCCAGTGGGTCTTGAGCAGCCAGCATTTCCTTTGTTCCCACCACAGGGCATGGTCTGACCAGTCCTGAGTAGCCCCTAAAGACAGATTATGTAAAACACAGTATTACCATTACCACTACAATTTATTGTCATATCTCAAGTTTAAAGGATAGGTCACAACCAAAGTTATTACATACATTTACATGTCAAGTTAAGGGGTCTTGAGGTGGAGCTCTGGCTTTGTTGCTAATATATTTCAACAGCCACTACATCTGCTACCAACACAAACACTTCCTGTAGTTACTGTTGTGTAGGTGGTGGGTAAGATTAAAGTGTGGCTTTATGAGTCTACCTGACATCATGTTATTGTGCTGGGCTGAAATCCACCCATTGATGACAAGCTACTTAGTCATCTATTTTGTGTGATGCTGTACCTTTCTAAAGTTGCCTCCATGTTTATTGGGAACTGTAAAGAGATATCAGATCAAATCCTGGCGGAACTTTGCCCCCTAGGGCTACACAAGCCAATGCATTGTGGAAAAACAATGGCACTGCAGTGTAGAAAAATGCAGGGCAAACAAGGGTGTGTATTAACTAACACACCTGTGTGGCAGCAAGGGGAGGTTGAGGCACTGTGCTTAAAACAGAGTTGAATGGACACACGCTTTCACCAGGTAAACAAAGCAAAATTGAGCCAAGCAATTATGCGAGGAACAGACATGTACTCCCAATGTGGAGAGACGTTTTTAAATGTGTATTTTCTCATGTTTCTCTCTAGTTACACGTACAAAAAATTCCTTCAAAGTTGTCACTGCACAGGGTCAGCCACCATGCATCTCAAGGAAGATTTTTAGTGCCATGCTACCTGAATGAGATGCTACGCACTGTAAATGCAATATCAGCCTGACAGGCTACAGAAGGTTTTTCACCCATGTGAGACACTTACTGATCTTCTCCACCAGCTTAAGCATGAGGCCTCCAACGTGCAAGTCTCCCTTCACCCTCAGCTTGAATTTCATGGACTCATCTCCCTCTTTTTGATCTACCTGCACGGATAGCTCCCATGATGTATCGGCTGTGATCGTGGCCATGTCCTGCAGAGACAGTGGTGAGACAGGATTATAGACAGGATGCTCCTAGGTTTAGATATCACCATCACAGAAGCACACCACAAGTAATATTGGAGGGAAAAACATACCGCTATCTGTAATTAATTACATGGTGGGGGAATTCCACTGAAATATGTTGATTCTTTTCCTTCTTTTGTTTGAAAGATTAGGAAACATCTGGGATGGAAATATGAGTCAGTGGATTAAGTGTGTCTCAACATCCTGTGGGAACATCCAAATGAACTTGGCCAGCAGTTAACAAACACTGATCGAAGTGGCCACTAATGGAACAGATTTTCACCCCGCTTCCTCTGCAGTGTCTCTGCAATGATACTGCAGCCCCTGAAGTACTCCTCTCAGCCGATACATTTATAAATATCTTATCAGTGAACACACAGACTGGATGATGTGCGGGCACGCAGGAAAAAAAGAGATGAGACTGCAGAACACACAATACACACAGAAGACATAATGCAGATGTACAGCTCTGCACAGAAAGGCACGCATATGGTGGAGGTTTGTTGGATTTTAATTATGAGAAAGAGTGAATGGATGAAAGACATCAGGCAGGTAAGAAAGAGGAGAAGAGCGGAGGAGGAGCAGGGAGGGTACAGCTGTGGAATGCGTGACGAGCAGGGACACGAATCCGGTGCAGGAGAGACCATGCAAAACAACAATCTCCACACACTGCACCAGTCTCCCTTCATTTCACATCTGAATTCTGAAAATGTGGTGAACAACGAGATGCAAACTCATACACACACACTAATCTAGACTGGGGCTATCAACAGAAATACCTGTTTCATTTGTCCTGGGTAGCCCACTGGAGGTGTATACTGTGTGAAACTGTGTTGCCGGGAGGCTAGGTTTAATGAACACACTCTGCTTTCTTTGTGCTGCTCCCTCCCTACGCAGCTGTTTGGTACACTTAAAAGTTTAAGCTTGCATGTCTACTGAGGGAAGACTTGTTGAGATGTGTTGGAGAGTGATGAATTGACTCCTACAATATTCCACTAGCTGCACAAAAAAGACCAAAAAGTGCTGGAATGAGGCGTATAAGTATATTTTTTTATACAAAATGTTTGAAGAGCTCACTTATTAACTAACTCCTTTAAACAAAGCCAATGTGAACTACATTTAGGAGGTTTATTCTAAATTTTTATCTATTTCTAATTTACATGTAAGCATTTTAACACTTAATTTCCAACCAAAGCTGCAGTGAAAATGTGTAGGAACTAGAGCAATGCAGCACATCCACACTCTATGAAAAATACAACCCCTTTTTTGAGAGACACTGTTCAAACGCATCATCCTTCTTATTGTTAAAATCATTCATACTAAGGCAAACAAGGGTCAAAGATGACTGTGAACCCTGTGGTAACGTCTAAGTCTAAGTGTCAGGCCTTTCTTTTTAGTCATAAACAACACCAGTGTGAAGTTTTAGCATTCACAGAACCATGTCAACCCAACAGTATCATAGTACAACGTTATACAAATTAACCATTAACTTCCTATGGGTAGGCCTACCACAGAGATGCACCACGTTCCAATTGGGCCATTATCAGGGACAGAGAAGCGTGTTTTATTAAAACCCAGCTGGCTAATTACCCACAAGACTAACGGTAACGTTAACGTTTTTCCCGCCGCGGTTTCGTGGAAGTCAAGAATCTCTGAAGCAACTCTTACCTTGGTTCAAGGGTTGCTTTGGTGAGCTATTCCTAGAAATATCTTGTGAAGTGGAATGAACCAGGAATTATGGTTCTTCGGGAGTAAAACACGCCCAGTTCAGACAGGTAATGTTACAGAGAGGGTGGAACCGTTAGGGGAAGTGGGCAAGGAGGCCTGCAGGGTAACCTTATAAAGCAAAATTAGCATTGCTCACAACATGGTGTCCTCGCCATTTGTGATGTTTGGGATCGAATTAATTTAACAAAGGCTCAGTTAGCAAAGGTTAAATAATATTTTTTAAAAGCATGTGATGTGACAGCACAAATTGCTAGCTCTCAGCCCAATGATATGGTAATAAAGTATATAGTACTCGTTGCTGAGGAACTGGAGGGAGATTTCTAAAGTCCCAAAAAAATAAACCTGGTGATGTCATCAAGGCTGACAAGATAGAGTATTTTTTGCCTTTCCACAGTGGGAATAAAGTGCAATACTAAATTGCTGAAAGACCCCTCTAAGAAAATAACAAACAATGCCTATACAGTACATGCAGCAAATAAATTCACTACACTAACACAAGGTTGCTCTGTATGTCAAAAAAGTTACAGTCTTTTAAGGGATTTAATTGGGTTTGAATACTTCTAAACGATTTATTGTTACTATGGACATATCATACCAAGAATGTTACCTCAGTTTAAGTAGATTTAAAGAGACAGGCCCACAGCAGCATGAATAATGGTTTACCTCAGATGAATCAGCCCACCTTCCTTAATGCCTACATCCTGCCCAATGACTAAATCAAGATGAATCACTTGAGTTTGTCTTTGTCTTTTCCACTTAATGATATTGCCAGCTTATGAAACTACAATAACACATCAGTAAAACTGATGGCTAGCATTTTCATCATTTGTACAGATGGTGTTCTACTGACAACCAGCCAGCCACACTGAGATATAGCCAATTTTGTAGCTTTTAATATGTAGGTGTGTATGTATTACATGGACTTCTTTTGTTTTCCAGCCACTTGGTCATGAGGTGAGCCTACGTGTGAAGCCTGCCACCTCCTGGTTTATATTGGTAAGCTCATGCAGTATCTTTTTGCCTTGGCAAAGGCTGGAGTAAAATGCATATTATGACTAGGGTGTATTGAAAACATAATTGAGTAAGCCACATTTGTCATTTTTATGCCAATTTAATGGGCAATAAGATATTAGTAATTAGCCATAATGTAACGTGAACATTATATCAAATCTCTAGCATCACATGGATATTCACAAATACTATATGGTTTGGTTCTTTTGTATTTAAGAGCTCTTTCTGCATGACTGCATTTATTTGCAGACATTATTAAACAATATGAAATATTTTTCTCTTCAACCTACTGACTTGTAAAGGAAAGGACTGTTAATGGGCGCCACTATAATAAAGTTCTGTTGCTGCCACACAGTGGCGCCATTAGACCATATCAGACTTGGAGGAGAGAAAGAGCCTAAATTTGTGAATCACTTTTGAGATAAAGGTGTTTTTGGTGTAGAAACAGGCTACTGTTGTGAGCCATGTGTTTTATGGCATGCACAGAATCATAATGGTGCTGAAATGGACAAATTCAATTCTGTATTAAAATTAAAAACATCTCTATAATCCCCTTCATCACACAATAATTTTTTCACTGGAAGAAAGCAGGAGCTGACAATTGCCACTCATGTCATCAGTTTGAAAATGCCCTTTAAATGAACATGGTAAAACAAATGAAAGTGATTGTGATTATGAAACCGTGCTAGAACTACCACAAACTATTGGAGTCTGGAGTGGTATGTCCATTTTTTGATAGGATGATGTCATCATTTTTTGATTAAGTGAGGAACTTGTCTCTTTATTTGTTCCATCCAGGGAGGACAGATGTCAGAGTCAGCTGCAGATGAACAGCCCTAGAATTGGTAAGGACACCAGCATGGTGGTTGCATGCCAACCTTTATACAGTCTATGATGCTTCAGTTGAAGGACAGTTTCTTTGGCCACTTGATCATTTTGACCACACCCTACAGATTAAGTGTAGTAAACATGCCTGTAAGTCTGTCTAAGCACTGTGTTCCAGCTGAGAGTTTATTGCTGGCACATGAGGTCGTCTTGAGTCCTTGTGTAACAGAGGAAATGTAAATTCCATGACAAAAACAAACAAATAAACCCTGAGCCACATAAACGGTGTCATTGGTGGACAGACACATGGAAAATAACATCATTTGGACCTGTCAGGCCTGGATGGAGAACAGACAAAGTAACACCATGTCCATGTCATCATGACACCTGTGGTTTTAATGGCAACATAGTTCACACAGTCCAAGCTAAAGGAAGGGACAAATATCAACTTAGCTTTACTAAAGTGCCTGGGAGAATGATAAAATATTGTCTTTAAAGTGATGAGGAGAGAAAAGGAAAAAGTTTGGACTGTGGTTTTAGACACAATAAATTACATCTACTGCCTGAAGCGGGTCTGAACCTACTTGGAAGCGGGTGGGAAACAACATCTGTAGAAGCCTTCACTGGCTTTCTGTATTTATGGAAAGAGAAACCTCCTGGTGACCTGGGAACACGCTTACCCAATTAGCAGCCTCGCCGACGGATCAAATGGAAGTGAAAACATTCACTGCCGTGACGGAGACGCATCACAATGCCCCATTCATGCTGCCGAGCCCCATGATTTAGGGGTGAGGTGGGGTGGGGGAGTTGTTCTTCTTGGGATGTAGTGGGGAGGTGGGATAGGCGAGAGGGAGTCATGAATGCAACATGAAACTAACTTACCTCACCACCTTTTTTGACGTATCGATGGAGGTCTCATTCATGACTTAATACAGGTTTGGAGGTAAACAATGTTCAAAGGTGATATTTTCATAAGGTTACCAACCACTGCTCACCTCGAGGTTCCACATCCCCTTCACCTCAGCCCCTATATCCCCTTGGACGCTCCCACCTCTACAACCCAACAAAACCTCGGGTCTTATCCTGTGGGAGCAGGACTGAGAGGGACAGGAGGCCTGAAAAACAGCACTGGAAGAGAGGCTCTTGACAGCACAGGGCTCTGGGGTACAAACGCTACACTGCTTTATGGCCTGCAAAGTGTTGCGGCTCTGATTCATTTTCACTCTTTGAAGCTGTCAAAACGTCTTTGTTCTACTTCTTACTTTCTTTTTTAATGAGGGTTGTTTTATTCTTATGCCACTGACCTCCATAGCTACCATGACACTCCATACCAGTTGCCATTCAAATAGAAAAACAAAACTCAAGAAAGGACAACCTGCACCTGGCCGGTTATTTGTTTTACAAATGTCAGTATAATGGGAAATTCTGTTGTGATGAGAGTCAAGCAACCCAGGTGTGATGGTCAAGAGAGGATCTTTGACTTAGAGCAGAGTGACTGACTAAATACAGACTCTATGTGTGGATAAAAGTACCTGTGTTTCACTAAATATTACCAACCTCTCCTCAGATAGACCGTGTAGTCGTTGCACAGCAGTGAATGCTCAGTATAAAGGCTCTTTTATTTCCAAAATTAATTGTTTATTTATATGGGTGGAGCATTGGTGCTTCAGAAAATGGCGTCTTACATCCTTGCTTGTAGATGTTTCCATTAAAGCTTATAATAATGTTACCAAGCCAGGGCCAATACTATAAAAATTCTAAATACAAGTTTTTAAAAAAATGAAAGATTAGTTAAAACATGCAGAAGGTTCATGCATTTTCAATTACATTTGAACTTTCCATACGACACAGCCAAAACTTTGTTTTCCTCTTCCTTTCTGTTCACCTCTCCTTGTATGGAAACATCTGATAGAAATAAAACCTTTCATGGTGTCAGGTCAGATAGCCATAAATACAGGTTGTCAGCACAGTGTGACCCTCACATCTAGAGGAGAGACTGTTCTGAACCGTGGTTTGGAACAGGATATCACATGTTTAAATATTGCACTTCTTTCTGAAAAGCTACTGTGAAACAACTTCCATTACAGAGCATTGCTTTACCTGTCACCGGCGGTATTTCATCCCTTTGCTGCCCAGAAACATAAAAGATATAGGTGAACACAGCCATATGGATAGATGGCAATCCTTCACCTCAGGCAGATACTCTGCTAGTCCAAAATTGACACACAGATAGATTGCCTTTTTCTGATATTAAGCCTGATGAGTTCAATGTCCTTTCTGTTGGCAGATTTCATGAAGAAATGCTGTTGCTCAGATCTGATTTTCTCTATCCGTCTTTGTCAGTTTCGGCAGGTGTGCACGGAATTCTGAAGCAGCTGACATTTTTGTTCCTGTGTGAATATCAAATATGTTGAATAAAGCCATATGCAATGCTGTGACTTTTATTAGGTTTGTCAGAGCATACAGAGACACAGTGGGAACACTGCCCACATTCTGTTAAAGATGAAATAACACCTTTTCTTGCAGGTCCTGTATGCAGAGGTCTCCTGGATCTGGCCACATGTGCACGGAAGCGTTTAGATGCCATCCAGCCACGTCCTGGGCTACAGAGTGACATGAAGAAACAACCCTTGACACTGGCCTTGAAGTTGGCGTGACTGATCTCTCAGGTACAGCGTAAGAGGAAGCGGGGCGTTGTGTTCCTTTCCTCCCCACATCAATTTGCCAACTGGTTGTGAATGGATGCCATTTTGAAACATGCAAATGTGGGTAGCCTCTGCCTGTATCAGCTGATGCAGGTCAGTGTTATTTTTGGCTGGACCATAAAGGCCTGAGGGGAGAAAGACTTACTGAGAGTTAGAAAAGGTCACATAAACTCTAGCGGGATTACTTTCCATGGCTGAGATCCTGTGAATGGATCCATTGTGGGGTGGGTCTCTGCTTGTGGAAAGCAAACCCTGTCAAGATTCAGTTCATTAGCACCTAGTTTACTGTTTGAAGTTAGTTATTTATCCGGCGTCTAAAGGGGAACCCCGTACAGACATATGTAAGCGTGTGTGTGTGTGTGTGCATGCGTGCATCTATGCGCAGGCATGTAATGTGTACAGTACTCATAGGATCTACAGGGGGTTTCCAGAGCAAATTGCTCAAGAGCAAATAAAACTTTCCATAGCGCA